TGCAAGGGACCAAAAGTGGCAAACATAAAATACAAAGGACCAAAAAATATATATAAAATGCAAGGGATCAAAAGTAACAAGCATAAAATACAAGGTACCAAAAGTGACAAATTCTTAAAACTTTTGTGGCTAAGCCGTGAATCATCAAAAAGACACTATTTTTAAGTGTCATTATATAGTATATAAATATGTTTGAAAAAGTTAGTATACATTTTTGAAATAGTAAGCCTGCACCTACCAACCAACATCACCATTTCATACTAGGATATTTTTACCACAGATGCCTTTTCTCAACCAAATATAATTATTGAAGGGAAAATATAAAGAAGCAAAACTTGTCATCTTTCATAATATTATGGGTTTCGTAATATTATGGGATGAGATGTTAGTTTAGACGACCTCATGTGAAGTCGTACTGTTGAACTATTAGTAAAAATTAACAAACCAAGAAAATATAATATTATAATTTTCAACTTAATAAAAAAGTAAAAATAATTGTATTTGGTTTTGATAAAAGGCATTTGTGGTAAAAGTATCCTTGTATGAATGAGATTCTAATATGTGCGCTAAGATCACATATAAAAAGCATTGATGGAAGTATTAATTATACGAATATTATCATAATTAAATATGATAAACATTAATTATATATAATTTTACCATAATTAAATATAAAATACATAAATTATAAAGAATATTATTTATAACTAATATTTAATTATGGTAATATTTTTCATAATTAATACTTCAATTAATATTTTTTATATGTGTGCTCTTAGGGCATATATTAGAAAATCATATAATTATAACATTAAATTAAACATAACTATATAAAAACTTGAAACGTCAACGACAAATTGATTAAAACCCGTAAATTTAGCAAAACTCACTTGATATTAATGATGTATTTGGGAGACTAATTGAAAAACTTGTTTTTACATAGAAATATAGTTTTTTTATTTGATACGCTAACAAATAAAAGTTAATAGTGTTTGGTAAAAACAAAGCTATATGATTGATAGAAAATATAAACTAAAATAAAAGAACAATTAGATATATTATAAAAACTAATATAAGATTATATTTGGAAAATTTGAGTAAAAAAACTCATGAGAATATCAGTATCTGCCTCAATAGCTTTTTTAAAATCTAGGTTCCAAGCTACCATGTAAATTCATATAAATTTCAACAAAAACTATATTACAATAAACTAAAAAAATAAACTCGCTCACCAAACATAACCTAAAACAAACAATCGATAAGCCACCATATAAATTCATATAAATTTCCTTCACTTCTTTTTCTATTTAGTGAGTAGTAATCTGAATGCAGTGTCCGTGTGTAGGATATCTATGGCGCAGGGATAGGGGACTGGGGACGAGAACGATGGGGCGGAGGTATTGTTTCTGTCAGTCAAAACGTCGCCTCAGTTGTGTTTGGTGGTTGATGACGTGAAGAAGGTGGTCTGGACTGAGGAAGATTGGTTTCGATTTTATTCTTGATCAGGTGCGATTGTGTCACCAAACCTGTACTCCAGATATTCGATGAAAAGCCCAGTTGACGTAGACAATGTTTAAAAACAACATTTTAACATTTTGGCCTTTAGGTTATTGCTTCTGTTCTCTTCTCTCCAAACCGAAATTCAATTTCTCTCTTTTGTCCATCCACTTTCGCTCTTTTGGACATCTCAATTATATATTTATGATCCAAATAATAAAGATTCTTTATTCTATTTTATATTTATTTGATGACTATTTTCTCATTCAACTTTAATATCCTGAAATTGAAGGCCTAGAAGACCAAGACACAGATTTATGTCATCCTTTCAACAGGTATGCCACATATTTTTATTTTTCGGAAATTAAGACTTTGTTTTTTAGAATTGATAGAATCTGGTGTTTTAGAAAGTACCCTAAAGGTGTTTGCTTCATATAGTGATGATAATGAAAGATATGGTGGTAAGCAAACAGTGAATTAAAATCACAATCGGAGGTTTTAGTGAATATAGATAACTTTAAATGTTAAACACAAGCCTACATACTTCAGTAATTTCATCAAGAACTTAATATAAACTTTTTTTTTGGGGGGGGGGGGGGGGTTTGGTTTTGAATTACAGGTGCAACTTAGTCGATGAAATGGCTGCCTGTAAAGGGGTTGGTCTGATGTATAATCCTGCTGATTTTTGGTTGATGGATACTTGGGAAATTTGAAAAAGACTATATAAAGAAGCCATAAGTCCACAAACGTTAGCATGATCATATAAATCATTAAAAAGAGTTAGAGATCATATTTTTTTCCCGTTGCTATTATCTAAGTAATTTTGATGTAAGTTGTGCTCAACCATTTCTCTTCTTTTGGCATTTTGTTTCAAGCATTGTTATAAAGTCAATGAGATGAATGTAATGCATACTTGGTTAACCAGAAAAAGTTATATTCGATATTTTGTCAATGAGCATAAAGTTCACTAGCAAAAAGATGCAAAAGGATGATTCCACATTGCATGTCTTTTACTTTTTTTTTTTTTGAATTTAGGATTCGTATGTGACATGTCATACAAAATCTTTGAAATATGTTTAAGATGGTATCAATATTATTATTAGATTAGATGTCGACAAAATATAAATGCTATATTAATGGTGTCCAAATGTGATCCAAAAAAAGTAGAAATCTCCTGACTATGAGTCTCATCCCTAGTTGTATTTAATTGTGAAACTTTTCATCGTGTGTGTGTGTATATATATATATATATATATATATATATATATATATATATATATATATATATAT